CTCAGAAAAGAATGTCGTGGCAGAGAATGCGTGCCCGTCATCGAACCGCCATACAATTTTAAGTTTTGTCGAAAGGATAACTGGAGTGAATGGAAGAACGATTCCTGTAAAAGCAATTGTATGAAGAAATCCAAAGGCATAGTAGTCAAGCGACGTTATTGCAGTCATCGAACTCACAGAACGGCGAATTGCAGAGGACCATATTACGACGTGGATCTGTGTGACGACTCGATACTTTGCATTACGAAGCGCCGTACAGTCGATGAGTTTGCTACCACGAGATGCACCGCATTGACGAAATTGTCAAAGGACAGACGTTTGAAGGATATAGGTTTGAAGTTCGATCTGCTAACACAGCGTCCGGGACGTCAGTTCCCTCATGATGTCAAGAAACCGTGGATAGCTTGTACTGTACACTGTCAACAAAATCAATCATCTGATTACGAGCCACTGCGTCAAGAAATGTTTCGCTATGGTGTTGATCCATACTTTCCCGATGGAACGTTGTGTCATAATGAAAATGAGAACTATTATTACTGCCGCCAGCATCATTGTGTGCCAGAAAATTACTCATTCGAAAAATCCGAATACTAAAAGAGTAATTGTCAATATCTGTGAATGAGGATCCGCAGAAAAGGAAATTGCAAAACGCGTGTCAATTTAGGTCCGTTGGTCATTTTTTTTAGCATTTGACTTAGAGTCGGATGAATCTTTGTTATTAACTTCTGTTTCGCGAATTACTTATTTTATGTTCGACAGAAACGAATTTATGAAAAATTACTTAAATTTATCAAACATTATCAATAAGTACATAGTATTGTTTTCAAGGCTGTCTTTTCTTTTATAATTAAAATTATACTTAAAATTATAATTATATTTAATCAGTTAAAAGAATAGTTTATAGAAGTTGATGGGTTAAAAATACTAAATAAATTTGTTATCATTTTCAATTTCAAATAGTTACTTGGATAGGGGATTTATTTAAAGTTTTATTTAAGAATTATAATTTTATAAAATATAGCAAAAATTAATAAGCCACGAATTAATAAGGAAAATAAGTAAATAATTGTTCATAATATTGGTATTATTTGTGGAATAAAAAAATATTATAAAAATAATAATTTTAAATTGACAATTTAATGTTATATTTTAACTAATTTTTTCATTAAAAATGATGTTAAACTATTATATTTGATTTAAAAGATCAATACTTACTTTTCGGTCATTTTATGATAAAAAAAATGAAGAAAGAAATTTCGCTTGAATGAAGAAAGGCGTTTTCTATAATTTGTAGTATCAATTCTGTACAATTTTCAAAGAAGGAGTTTTTTACAATTATTTAGTTTCTGTGAAGTCGCGATAAAATAAAAATTAAGATTCATACAAATTTAGACAATCAGATTTCAAAATAGAGATTTGAAGCTTGAAAATACTTCTTTATTTATTTTTAAATCCTTATTTAGTTACTCGCTATTTAATTTCTAACTTATATATAATATTGTGTTCAAAATATTTTACTTTTCTTTTTCTTTTATTTTTCTAAATATTTTACTTGTTTTATATTTTTTAAATTTTTTTTTGGAAATACAAATAAACGAAGCGGCTTGGTCGGACCCGTCGGACCGACTTATGCGCCATCAAGCGGATTAATGTTTTTGGAAGACAAAACCTGGCCCAGTGTTGCTAGACGAGACGCTTTTTTCACGAACGCACTTGAGAATCGGCCTCAACGGTGTACTAATTGAGAAAAAAAAGGGCACTTGTAGACCCTTCTATTAAAAAATTATTAGAAAATTTTGTTTATCGTTAAAAAGTGATAAAAAGTAATAAAATAATAATAAATTAAACGCATGTAAATATTATGTTTATTTTTATAATAATAAAATAATTAATAATATTAATAAAAAATAAGCTAAAAAAGGAAAGGATGTTTAAATAATTGTTAATAACATTTTAATAACAATAAAATATTTTATTTGGCAGAATTATTTTCCCGCTTTGCAAGAACTTCTTTAATAATATTGGTGCACTTTGATCGAGCCAGTGAAAGATCTTGTACGATTGAAGAATCTATACAAATGTCTTTTAACAAAGGAACTAAGTGATCTGCGGTATAAAGAGCAACGTTATGTTCAGAATAAAAATGCTAATTTAATTTTGGCTCGTTTAACGTTTTCAATATGAGAATTTTGGAATCTTGGCTTTGGCTTTGACTTATTTGAGAATTACTGTCACAATTTTTAATATGTTTAGCCCTTTGTGAATGTCGTATTAAATCTGATTTACAGCATCTAATGGTAATATTGCACAAGTTACAAATTGCCTTATTTTCCGTAGGATGAGGAGCCAGCCATCCTTTAAATAAATCGTCAGCTAACCAAGAATTTTGAAAATTTTTAA